TTCACTTCTTTTTTCTTCTACCTTTGGCTATATTCTGTGGTCAAAAAGAGGGGGAGGGAGAAAAGAAAACTGAAATATAAAGAACCCTAATAGGTTCCAAATGCCATGCTAGGAATTTGTATGTATTTTATCATTTAACAAGTTTATCACTAAGAGTTAGAAATGACTGGACAGAAACAGGTTCATCACATACTTATGCTCATTTTAACGATGAGAATACCAAAGCTAAGAACAAGTAATGTGGAGAAATAGAAGCAAAAGTGGTATGTAGATCCTATTCATGAGTCCATGTGCTTCCATTCCTTTAAGAAAGAACAAATTCCAGATGTTTTCATTTGACAGACAAAGGGTTAAAACCACGGAGAGGAGTCCACAGCATCGTGGCTGTAATTAAGTGCCACGGAGTCACTTTTGACGCAGCACCATCCCATGGACGACACACGAAACACTGCCACCGCAGGGTGCAGCCTCCCTGAGGCCTCTACAACTCACAGGCTGAGCTGTCTCCGGCCTCTTGACCTTCAACTTTAAAGGCAGCAGGGACTCCATGGCAGTGAGTCTTTTTCAAACGTCCTTTAACATTTCTAGATACGTAATCTAGAAATTTAAGTGTGGATAAATAAAGATTACTTTATCTTTTTAAAATGCCCAGGCTCTCTTACGGAGAGAAAGAGCTGAGTTTTGCTTGTTAGCATACTCACCCACTGTTGTCCGCCTAGTCGTTTTCAAAGAGATGACGATCCCTTTTTCTAAAACCAGCTCATCTTAGTAAGAACCCTCACACATCGGTCCCTTTGACCTTGCTGATCGTCTGTGTCCAGAAGATGAGGTGGTCACTGCACCACAGCTGGCAGGAGAGTCAGCAAACGGAGACCACTGAGAACTGGACGGGAACCTGCTGGCTCTTGTGAGCAGGACACCAATTCCTACTCATGCTGAGGGCACGGCCCCCACCGTAGTGGGATGAGGAGACTTGGTCTCCCATACTTGGGAGAGACGAGGCCCTGGAGAAGGACATCATGCCGGGTAAAGCAGAGGGGCAGCGGAAGAAAGGACCCTCAAGGGATGGAGGGTCACCGTGGCTGTAACAGTGGGCTCCAGCATAGGAACAATTGTGCTGATGACTCAGGACCGAACGACGCTTCCTTCTGTTGTGCACGGGGTCACGATGGTCAGGACCAACTCAATGTGCCGAACAACAACAACAACCGCGCACTAACACCCGTCTCTCCGGCCGCCATATGGCTCCCACTGAGAAGGCATCACTGGGGACAAAGTCCGAGGGCTCTTTGACTTGAATCCCACTACAACCGTTTGGGAGCAGCAAGCCTTCCTAGAATGAAGAGCCACCTCCAGCTCTCTGTCGTCCTTGTTTTTGGTTTTGTGTCGATCATTTATTTTCGTTGTTGAGAATATGCACAGAGAACGTACTCTTTTCCTCTCACTTGCTCTGTCATTAGGAATAAACGGAGCACAAGACGCCCGAAGCCCACAAGGTCACGTCAGTAGCCCTGACGACTCTGAGTTGTGCAAGCATTCTCAGCTGCCTTTTCTGTTGCTGGTCCTCCCCCATCAACACAAACCCACTGCCGCTGAAGTCTCCTTAGAGTACTTTGTAATAACAAACAAAACAAACTCACCCACTCACGGCCATCAAGTCCACTCCGGCTCCCAGTGACCCTGTAGGACAGGGCAGAGCTGCCCCCGAGTGTCCCATGGTTTCAAACTACGGACCTTGTCGTTGTTGACCCAGCATGTTACCCACTCTGCCACCAGGGCGCCTGTGTGACAGCTGTCCGGCGGCCCTGTCATCGAGCTCGTTCCAGGACCCTTTGGAATTCTTGGTGTTGGTAGGGAGAGCCGCCGCACAGTCCTCCACAGGCGCACAGAGGCCCGGTTTACACGGTTCTCTCATTGACTGCGGCCGGAGCCAGCGGCCGGGCCAGCCAAACACCACTTGCCCTTCTTGCTTGCTTGTGTTTTTATGATCAGAAACTGCCTTCACATCCTTGTCTCCCCTTTCCCGTAGGCCTGTCCATGACCTCGTTATTTACTCCATTTCTGCTTCCTAGGCTCCTGCACGCCAAGCCAGGTCTCGGCCATCGTGACGGTGCTGCTCCCGGAGACCCTCCTGCTGTGCCACATCCAGTTCAGTAACACCCTGCTGGACATCCCAGCGAGTCACGTGTTTCACGTCCAGTCAGATTTCAGCATAGAGAAAGGTCGGTGCCACCAGCCGCATCTCGTTCCCCCGCACTTTCTTCTTGCACTGCGTGTATGGGCCCAGATTTTGTGAGATCTATCTGCAGAAGATGTCCCCATCAGCCTTTCCATGCAGCCCTTTCAGCAAGCATGTGCCCCAGGCCCCGTCATACGCTGGGGTCTTCTCCGTCACAGTGCTTGCCAGACTTCAGACCGACCCTGTTCTTTTCAGTCTTCGGCCTCTCGTGAGGGTCCCGACTGTGTCCCGGGACTCCCAGCAGGGTTTGGAAGTCTCCTGTTGAACGGAGGGGGATCCCGAGCAGGAGAAAGGGGCGTGGCACTGCAACAGGTATACAGCCACTGACGGAACAAGAGAGGGTTCGTGCTGCAGCGTGAGAGGAGGCAGGCAATTGGACTCGGACCTGCACTGAACAACCACTGAAGGAAGGCTCCTTAGCAAAGTGCTGGCCACCAAATGGACACGCGGCACCAGGCCCAGCACTGGAGGAGCAAAGAATAAGACAAAGTATGGGGAGTGAAATTGCTTACGTGTGGTTCGTCTACCCATTTATTTGTCTATAACACTCACCAAGTGCTTGGGCGGGCCCATGCAAATGCGGTGTGAGAAGCGCTGATGGAAGGGACTGGTCAGTTTTGCCTTTTCACTGTGTGTATAAGACTGAGCCATCTCAGGAGCAGGGAGAGACACTTGCTGGCAGCACCACCAGCAGAGCACGATTGAGACCCTGCCCAGCCCGACGTGGCAGAGCAGCAGAGGCCATGCCGAGCCGAGACCAGAGGAGCCACAACACTGACACCTAAGGCCACCACGAGTCAGGGAGGCGGAGCAGCCCGTGGATTTCCTGCCCACGCAGGCAGAGGCCAAGGGACCGTGGGACTGAGACGGAGGCCCAGAGAGTAGCTTGGCTGCTAGCTGAGAAGTGGCGTTGCTGTGGACTAAATGTTTGATGGCCCTGACTGTGGTCTGCTGTTAGCTTCCCTAATAAGCCCCATGACTGTGAGGATGGTCGGTGCGTCCCGGGGGGCCACTGCGATGGCTCATTGAACCCAGCAGCGAAGTAGAGTAGGGGGCGGAACGGCGGCGTCAGAATGGGACCAAGCAAGACGGAAGGGGAAGGCAGGTCTGACCTCTGCCTTATGGCAATCGGCCTAGACGTGTGTGGAGTTGGACTCTCCTCCTCCCTGCTGAAGCCAGGGGGGGTCAGACGTGTCTTCCCCCCACCCCATTTCCTCACAAGGCTTCCCACCCTCTTCCTGCTCCTGCACAGGGCGACCAGCTGTAGGACGGAGACCTGCATGGGACATTAGGGTGGCGGAAAGAAAGGGCTATC